AGTTTTAACACTTCTGTCCACGGATTGGTTCAAAACAAACTGCATATAAAGACAGAGATTGGTGGTGTTCTATAATTAGTTGCCAAACCATTTTTATCCACTTGTTTGTCTACACAAGAACACATAGTGATCACAACTATTCATAACTACTTCACTCATGGACATTTGGAAATTGTAATAATGATTAGGAGAGCCATTTAAGAAAAACTGCAAAGGGGTGTAGTGAATAAAGTTGATCATGTGTCTGGAGTGAAATGGAATGCTGAAATAAAGCCTCTGATTGGACAGAAAAATGTCAGTTTATGTCAGACTGATCTTCACAGATTTCATTTGTGAAGATCAGTTGTCATTTGTCATCGCTCCCCTCATCTTATTGGTCTGCATGATCAATAGCTATCAGTAAATGTGAATATTATCATTGGCACATTGGAATGTGAGTGAAAGAACAATGAAACAGGATAACTGATATGTTTAATGTAAGAGAAGTACGTGTCTGTCAGGCATGTCTGGTTTTGTTTGTGCCGCAACGCAGCAGCTCTGTATCAGATCCCTGAGCTACAATGCTAATCAGCCAGTAATCCTTGTGCTGTTGATGTGACAAGTGATGTGCCATGTGACTCTATTATTTTCTCATCAGTGTTCTTTTTGTCTCTGTGTCTCTCTGTACGTCTCAGTTTGGGGCCTGTTGTTTCGCTGTGATTGAGCCATTGTTGTGACTGACTCGCTGGGAGCCTGTTGGGCGTGCTTACATGGGTTTTTTTGCTCCTTGGGCTGCTGGATGTGGCAACTGGTCCATTTTAATCTCTTGATGATCATTTGAGCTAAAACAAAAAAGGGAAGATTTTCAAACCACAATATTTGATTTGTTTTTTTCTATTTAATATGTTTTTCTAAGTATATTGAGAAGAGACATATTTCACAAAACATTCTAATGAGCTCATATTTGTTCAGACAGAGAAAGCTGGTTAAAACTCAGTTAACCTAAAATGTGGTGCAAGAAAATTTAAAGCATAATGGCTTTTTGATAAAACCTGCTCTTGAGAAGGTAAACTAAACAAGAATGGCTTTGTACAAAAATGTGTTCCAATAAAGATACGTTGACGTGATTTCCCTATTAAATAAACAGATATCTGGTAGTCAAACTGATGATAGTAACCAAGCCGTCTGTCTCTTCCTGTTCCACTGCTACATTTGTCTAAATTATGGAGTCTTAATGCTAAACTGTAGGTTCTCTTCATCATGTTCTATTGCAGAGAACTATAATTCAGTACTTAGTAATAGGAGCGTATCAATACACCCAGCTTAAGAGTTGACACAATAAACTATATCTCTTTGAAGAGATGACAAAATAATTTTAATACATTTAAAAATTGTGTCAGAATTCTGGGGGAAAAACTATCAGTGTCGAACAATGTGGTAATTGTGACTTTATTCTTAAAATTCTGACTTTAAAGAGAGGGAGGCAACAAAATCAAACCCCTCAGTCTTCTACTAAAGCATCACTTACTGCTTGTGTTCTGATGATGAAGCCAACAAAGTGCTTCCTGGTCCTTTTTTCTGCACTGGTAGAAATTATTGAGCAGTCAGAATGAGGGCAGATGAAGTGAGGTGGGATAAGATGGAACATGAGTCAGGCCAAGTTGAAATGATGACTCAATGAAGTGGAAGGAAAAATATTTCGTCATTAATGATATTGGATATTGCGACTTTGCCAGAGTATTTGAAAAACTTTTGAAAATTCTGCAGTCATTTCTATCTCACAAAGAGCATGGTCAGTTAATTTAAAGACAGACTCAGAGGCTCTGTTGTTCAGATGGAGACACTGTCCTCCACCCCCTATCTTTCTGACATCACTGTGTTGAGGGTTTGTGTTCTGGATTCTTGCAAAGCTGGTGTTTTTGATTGTCATATCTTGACATAAAATTTTTAACTTTGCCACACATTCAGTACAATAGCTAACAGCATACCATTAGAATGCTGGGGGTGGGGGGGACCAGACGGACGAATGGACGGACGGATGGGGGGACGGGGACGAACAGCATATTGCAAGAATGGGGAGGAGGTCTGACTGTATGCTAACCCCTCCTGCCCCCAGATACGCTATTTTATTTATATAATTATAAATAATTTCCATTATCAGTAATGTTGTGTCTACCAGAGGATTCATCTGGTCATTATCTTTCATTTGAGCCTTCATTGATGGTTGTATATTGAAGCACTGAGTCATTGAAGTCATTTGAAGTTTGTATTTCAGGTGTTGTCCAAGTATGGTATTGGGAGACTCCAAATGGGACACTTGGACAACATCTGTACATCCTCATAAATAAACTTCCAAAATGGCATTTCTTTTTTGTGCTATTTTGATCAATCTTGAAATCCACAAGCAGAAAACTTTATTCTACAAATTTATGGTATTTTCCAGTCAATACATTCAACACTCAATGTTGAATGTATTGAAAAAATGAAAAATCTGGGTGAAGCAAATCTTTTCTATTTCTTTTGTGTTACAAACATAATAGGTACAAACTACTTACAGTTAAAGCATATTTGACTGCAAAAATAGAAAATTTAGCTTTTCATCTTCATTAAGAGACCAAGCTTTTGCATGTACTCTAAATTGTTCAAGAACAGCAGCTGATTTAACAGCAGCCATTTTTGGTGATTTTTCAGGGTGAGAGTTAAGGGGTTAAACACTCTGATTAACAGAGACTTGTCCCAGAATCCAACTTTTTCAGCAAATAATGTGTGGACTATTGCGAAGCAATACATAAGACATACACTTTTAGTATTTTATTTTGTACCAAATTGCTGCTCAATTAGCTTTGCTCTAAGTAAGACAATAATTATAAGTTCATAATGTTGTTTTTATTTGAAGAACTCTATTACTTAAAAAACTGCAGTTATGAAAAAGTTATATTTTTATGGAATTAATCATCATTAGTATAAATTGAAATGTGTATTTATTTTTGTCTAAACTGTCGGTTTGTATCCTGAAAATATGAATTAGGAGTTTCCTCCATTGCAAATAATGGAAATAAAAGAATTCATTCCTCCCTCGTCTACAACCATGCCAAAGCATTCACAGCTCTCATTTACTGCAGATTAGTGACATTAATCCTATGATGCTGAAAGAAGCATTATGTGATGTGATAATGATGTAACAACAAATAATAAAAACAATGGGAAAACCACCTGTTTGACTAATTCCATAACATCATGTTCCAGACTCATACTAAATAAATCAGGTTTGTTTGGTTTATTATGAGGAGTGAAGCATTGAATTCTGGACATTGTGGACATCCAATGACTGTCTGCATATATCTGCACAGGAGGAGATAGAAAAACACAGCAGATCTGACCTGTACTCTAACAAGAGCACCAGGCCCACATCATCAGACATCCTCTTTGAAGAGATGACAAAATAATCCTATGACAATAGGATTATTGTCATAGGATTAGGACCTCATGCCTATGCTTAACAACAGGCATGAGGTCCGTTGTTTTACGTTTTTGTCCTTTCTATGTCAGCAGAAATTGTTTTTCGAAATGCTCACATTTTAATTTTGATCTTGCTGAACTGCACAAACTCAAGTTAAAGGTTGGATTTTTCTCTGGCGTTTCTAGCAGAAACGCCAGAGAAAACATGTGTCACTGTTTGGAGCTTATAATGTGTGATCAGGTGAACATGACAGAGCATCTTGAAGATTTTCAATGTCATATTAATGAGCTTGTTTTCTTCTTTCAGTTTAATGGTAGAGTGCAATGTATGAATTAGGATTACTTGTAGTGTTGTATGTACATTTACTACATGTAGAACATGCAAATTAACAAACTGCATGTCACTTCCCAGAGACTTTGGGTAACACTTTATTTGAAGGGGGTTGAATAAGACTGACATGACACTTTCATAAACATGACATAACACCTGTCATGAACATGAATAAGCCTTCATGAATATTTATGACTGTTGTCATAAAGCGTCATTCGGTAAATTATGACACTTTTAATACAAAGTTGACATTATTCAAAATGTATTTGTTATGACAACTTGACATTAACTAATAAATCATTTCTGTTTAAACTTTACCTTTAATAACATAAAGTTACCTAATTTTTAAAGTGCAATCAGTAATACTTTTATAACAACTTTATATCAGTAATGATTTCTTATTCACCCCCCTTCAAATAAAGTGTTACCAAACTTTGTCACCTAATGTTATTGTCTAAGCATGAAAATTACATTGCTGTTTATTTCTTGACAAATACAACCATTTAAGATTATTGTTTTTTTTTTCTCTAAATTGAACCAGTTGGAATCATTAAGCTGAATTTTTTTTTCTCCCAAAATACAAATAGACTTGTTAGGAAAGCAGAAAAAATAAGTTTGAATTGTTTTCCTTTTCTAAGCTAATTCATATTTCAACCAAACCTCTTTGATTGAAATAATACAAAATTCTACCAAATATATTTTGTAATGTTTATTGAAAACATCAGACCACCATAAGAATATACATCATTTGTTGTTGAAATACTCCTAAGGCATCAGCTGATTTTGGGGGTTTAATAAAGCAAAAACAAAGAATCCTGATCACAGCAGAATAAGAGCAGTAATGAATGGTTGCAGCTGTTGCATTTTTGTAATTAATAGTCTTCTAATTGGACAAATTATTTTGCTGCCATATGAGGCGTGGGAACAGGCATGTGAGGAAAGCAGTCGTCTCTCAGGAAAAGACCTATCTGAACTTGCATAATGAAGAAAAACTCCATTAAACTGCCAGCTCCCTGCTTCCATCTGCCTGGATTCTAACTGGTTCTGTTCTGCAGAGCTGCAGAGCTTCAGTCATGGCAGTTGTTCTGAGAAAACCACACAAACAATGTGTGGTGATAGGGATTTTCTATGTGAGGATAAACGGAATCCTCACATAGAAACAGTGTAATCCTGTTCTGTTTTCTGATCAGATCCTAAATCTAATCTGTATCTTGTCTTTCCCTTTTCACAGGTTCCTGCAAACCTCAGGGTTGCAGCCATGGGCGTATCACTTTATCTTTGAGAAGAACCAGATTTCTTCACTTTCGTCACCCTCTTCCCGTCCCCTTCTCCATTTCTATACATTTGTTTTCTGGGAAACTGGGGAAGTGACTCACCAGGAACCAGACCCCATTGACCCTGCCTGTGGAACTGCCTCCTTTCCTTCAGCTGGAAACCATGAAAAACCTTTTTCTCATTGCTGGCCATTCAGGATGGCCTTTTCCAGCACTGCTATCATTTTGTGCCACTTTTTTACTGATGGGCGGTTGCTACCATGCCGCCCCCTCAGGCCCTGAGTCCGACTCCTGCTCCACCTTAGTTCAGAACCGCTTCTTTGGGTTCTTTTTGTCATCATCAGTGTTCCCCACTGTGCCTTGTTCCTGGACCCTACAGAACCCAGATCCACGACGGTACACAACATTCATCAAGGTGACCAAACCCACAGGGGGCTGCCAGCCGTTTCAACTGCGGACCTTCCAGTATGACTCCTTCCTGGAGACCACGCGTACCTACCTGGGCATGGAGAGTTTTGATGAGATTGTGAGGCTGTGTGACTCCTCTGTTCCTGTGGCCTTCCTGGAGGCTGGAAAACAGTTCCTGCAGATGAGGAAAGGACCTCCTCGGGCAGGCATGGCCATCCAAAACGGTGATGAGGATTTCAAAACCGAGTACCTGGTGGTGGGGAAGCGCAATCCAAGCATGGCGGCCTGTCAGATGCTCTGCCAGTGGCTGGAAGACTGCTTGGCCTCCAGCACATCCAACAGACCCTGTGGCATAATGCAGACCCCCTGCTTGTGCTGGGACAAGCCTCCACAGCTCAGTCTGGGTGATAGTTGTTATCACAATGGAGTTTACTTGGAAAACTGTTTGCCCAGCGTGAAAGAGAGTGGAAAAGATGCGGAAATAAATGGTGAGTAGTGTTCATTTTATCGCAGTTTAAAATAAAAAGTGTCAGTAGAAATCACATCATTGTTTGTGGATCGACTGCTCGGCCTTTGAAAATCACTGAAATGCTGAGATTAACAATTATCTCTGCTTCTCCTCTAAACAATAGGGTAGAAAATAGTTTTCTGCCAAGAAACTGCAGAGAAAAGAGATTTTTGTTTTTGTCTGCCCTTGGAAGGTCAGCATCACTGTTTAGCATGCTCTCAGCAAGGTGTCTGAAAAGTGGTATCTTCAGTGGCCATCAGTGCAGGGGAAATGTGTATGATTTGTGAAAAGTGAGGACAGTAGTGTGACATTGCCTCAGAAGCACATAGGGGTGCTCTGGCAGCAATTGGGAGAAAGAGGGCCAGAAAGAGACAAATGGGAGGTTTAAGGTTTCCTCTGATGGAAGCGAGCTCAGTAACCTTGCAGTGTCTGCAGCGTATTTGGTTCCTTTGCAGTCCAACAAGTGACACTTGATCGGCCTCAGGGAAGCTTTGGGAAACTGAGGAGACTCAAGTGCTGATATTGGATAGATGTGAGGATGCTCAACACAGACTGGGGGCAGGGGGCTGGGGCTCGAGTGATGTAAATAGAGACAAAAGAACAAGCTAGATAAGAATAAAGGCACAAACACATTAGGCTAAGGGTTCGTGGTTTGTAGTCTAATTGTCTGTTGCTTGATCCTGACTCCCTTCCCTCTCCCTCTGTGGACAGGATGTGGCCTGACATCTCTATCCTTGCTTTGTCAGGACTTTGGCCAGAGGGATAAAACATTTCTTGGCTCCCCTCTCTCCCCTTAACCTTTTCCAGCATCTATCTCACATTTTTCCCTTGGTCTTTTTCCCTCTCTTCCTCCTCTTCTGCCTCCTTCTTATCTGTCCTACCATCACTGCCTCTCCATCTCTCCCTCCCCAGGCTGATGGTGGGCTGATACTGAGCCAGTCATGGGAAGCCAACCAAGCAAGATGTTGTACTGGGTATCTCCTGCCTTATCCACCTCCAGTCTCCAAAGAACCCAATATCCCCTTGCTACCTCTGCCTCCTCTGCAGTAGTTATCACACTTATGTAATCCTGCTTATGGTGCTCAACAGCAGGGTGTGGGCTGTTTGTGCCTTAAGGTGTGAAAGTTAAAATGGTATAGAAATATACCATTCACCATTTCCTTATGAAGGGATAAAAATCAAAGGACACTTTATAGCTTTTCTGCCTCCTTGTGCTTCTGCCCACGCAGACAAAACGTCTATTGCAGTCCAAGGTAAAAGCCTACTGTTTTTGGAATATTGGCCTGGATGGGTGATGGGATGGATTAAATTGGTTGAAAAAGACAAACAAAAGGCTGCAGAGAGGAAATGGGTTGTGAATGAAAAAAAGGGCAGGGAGCCAACAATTTAAGGCTTCTGTGCAGCAACAAATGGGACTAGAAAGGTGTCTGTTGTGAGCAATGAATGAAGACAGGAGATTCAGAGTGCCCAGACAGAAAGGGGATGAAAGAATTAAAGGTGAAGAGGCTCACAGAGCTAAGAGGGAGAGTGGTGTGAGGTGAAATGGGTTTGACTAAGATCGATGGATTGTAGATAAGGGTTTTGCCTTGAATGTATGTTTTGCATATGGATGGAGGAATGTCTGGTCCAGCATATACCTGAATAGAAATAGAAACCTGATAGTTTCTTATGTGTTATGTGTAATGGTTGAAAGTCACAGTGCCTTAAGTGGGCACAGTAATTCAGAAAAGTGCTGCTATTCTGCCTGACATCCTTTGTCAGCTGGATGTGTCAAGTCACATTTCCACATTTGATGCACATCACCTATTATTTAGTGAGGCAGAGGGTGCACAGCTCTGGGTGGTTAATGGACTGGTTATACATCAAAACGTCCATTTTCACACGATTAGCATTAATCATTACTTTTCAGGAAAATTAATATCATAGATGTGAAAGTCTGAAAAATTGAACCACCAGCTGCTTTAAATGACTTTGATGTTCAAAACTCCAGAATCAAATGAGTCTCATAACTTATCAATAAAATTTAATAAATAACATTTTAAGAAATTAAATAGCAATTACCCAGTAACAGCACAGCTTAATTTCACACACATATAAAATTAAGCTCTGCTATGCAGATGTTTCACTCACATGGCGATATGGGATGGTTGAAACTGAAAGTGAAATGTATCATCTTAATTCATCAAATGAGTATCTGGCCAATTATGAGCACTCATAACTCTCTGAAACATCATCCCATTCTTTACTGTGTAAGATCTTTAACCTTTAAGGTGAGAGTAATGCTGCTTACCATGCTAATTTTGGAATGTCCTGACATTCAAAGAGTCAAGGTTAATGAATTAATGAGATCTCTGATGATATATACTAATATGAGTGTAAAGTCATCTTAAGACATTTTGCTCAGAGATAGAAACTTTTGTTTGTTGTTTTGAACAGCAGGACAGTGTTCCAAAGAATGGGTCGGAGGAATGTGAGAAGATCAGAATGTGTTTGATCCAAATGATATAAACAAAGACTGCAGGTATTTTGCAGGGTCACAAGTTGCCTAAGAGCTTATGTAATTTTGAAGAACATTCAGCTACAATTTAACACAAAGCACAGGAACTATCTGAGTCTTGACCTTTACAGAAGGAATCAAACAAGATTTCACACAAACACACTGCCATGGGCGTCAGCTTCCAGCTTCCTATGACTTCGTTCCATATGAAATATCATATGCTGATCTACGGAAAACAGACTGCTCTCTAAGAGGCTTCTTCTGTTTTTGATTTTAGTGAAATTTAAATGTTTTGCATCATAAAAAAGCACCATAAAAAGTTGAGTTGTTTTATTATTATTTTAGCAGTCCAGAAATCTATCAAAAACAAATATGTGCAGATGTCCCTCTTCCCCCCATACCTTTTCTTATGATAGAATTGTGCCTGTTCACATACAAACACATCCCAGACAAACATTTACAGTCAGTTCAGTCATCTTGACAAAACCTTTAAACATTTTTATTGGGTTTAAAGCATTAAGAGTCTGTTGGGAACATTGTTTCAAATTTTATTGTACTATAGATAAATGATAATCTTGTTGCGTTGCTTCTAAGTATTGTGTTTTATAATATTGACTCATATGTAGTTTGCAACAAATTGTGCTTTATATTTATATATATAAATTAAGATTTATAAAGCTATAACGTAACAGTCAGAGTTTATCCTGTCTATTCTACATTCTTAGTGAAATTAAACTTTTTTACCTATGTTGTTTATCACATCTTTATTTGACACCAAAACAATTACAAGCCAGCTCCTCCTGGAGGTCTGGACATTTAGAAATAGTTCTGGAATAAAAATATCTAACTATTGCTAAAGTCTAACTTATTCTCCTCTCCAAGGATGTTGAAATTTTTCCATAAAGACACTCTTGTTCTGTGGAGTGCATCATTACAGCTCATCATTTTAGGCTTTTTTTTTTTTTTTAACCAATATCCTAATTGTCCAGGATGATCCATCTGTTTTTAGCTGTTTTAAGCTGTTTCAGGGTTTTCCTCATATAATGTGGTTCCAGCTCTACTCCACTCTGACAGTTCACCCCAGCAGTTTTGGACTGCATTGAGCAAAGCATAAATTGAGTGTGTGGAAATGTGACAAACTCTTCCAAAGCTAACACAGAGTATTCATCAGGCTGCCTCTGACTGAGCAGAAAGCAGCCGTTCGTTTTAGAATGAGAAAAATTGGAGCATTGCAAATAATGTAGCTTTAATCCGTTTGTTATTTTGAAAAAGCCACTTTTTCTGCTCTTGTGGATGAACAGCTAAGCAGATCAATATTGTTTTCAGTGTAGCACCTAAGGGTTCACTGTGGAAAACTGAGTGAATGCTGCTTTAGAAGTGAAAGTGACTTTCAGAAATCTCAGTAAAATTATTGTTGCCGTAGCAGTGCTTTGCTAAGCTAAACGGGCTGACTGTAGTGAATATTTTCTACCACTTTTAAGGTATTTTCTTTAAAATATTTTAGCTTATTGTCTACAATCTCTAGATCCCAGTTTGAGTAAATGGAAGCCTGCTGTGCAGTCTCAGTAATCATCACCTGTGGAACACGAGACCGCATGGGATGAAAAATAGGTGGAAAAGTGGGACGTTATTGGAAATAAATGAAAAACAAGCAAAGTAAAGACAAAAACGAGTCTTTACTTTGTGTGTAAAGTAAATATGATTCCACCTTGGTCCTGTAGAAAAAAAGTAGTTGAACACTGAAACTACCTTATAAGTGCTACCGCCACAAGTGGCATCAAACAAGTGGGAAATATTTGATATCCAGTGAAGTCGGTGGCTTTTGCAATGACAGATTTGTCTATTTGTTGCAGGACATAAGCAAGTAATTGTAAATTCTTAATGACTTTATCAAAATATCTTAATGTTAAATATATTACTGGCAAACCATTGCATTCCAAGTATTTCTTTGTTGTGCACAGTGATGAAGTGATACCAGAAAGAATTAATGACAGAACCTGAAGAGTGGTGGAGAGGCAACAAATGTTAGCCATGAAGATGGTCTCAGTTATGTATGATGCCATAACTGAGCAAAGACAGCTCAGCAAAGACAAGAGATCATGTGAGCAATTTAATAATTTAATCATTTTATATCAACTAAGTCATTAGTATGGAGGGAGATGCAGCTGAGAAGGATGAGTACAGGAACGGAGTAGAAAGTGGAGCCAAAAAGATGCAGCTATGATTAAAACAAACTGTAATTATTGTCTTCAACTAATCTTACAAGTAGTATCAATTATTCCTGAGTTCTCCATGCTTTTAAATATGTTCTACATTTAAGCCCTGAGTTATGAAGGGAGAGATGAAGAATACCAAAAGGTAGATGAGAGAGAGGAGGTAAAATTACCTGGGAGAGTAAAAAGAGACAACAAATTAGAGCTGCTTATTAGACAATATAAAACCCTCAGTCTAGCTCAGCAGTAATGTCTCTATTCCCCCAATATGAAGCATGTAAGAGGGAAATTTAAAAAGTCATGTATTGATAAAATGAACAACTTTTAGGATGCATTCACGCCAACCCTGTTTAGTCCACTTTGACTCAACTGCAGTCAGTTTGCCTAGAAAGTCTGGTTGGTTTGGGGAAATGAGAATGTGTAATGAACTCTGGTCC